ATTCTACTGTCTTTCCTATTGCCATCTCCTCTCCCTTCCCTTCATTCCCCTTGTCTACTCCAATGAACTTCTATTCTCCTCCCCCTCCCATTATACCTTCTTCACCCTGTGGCAAAAACCTGGTTGTTTTCTAACTGCAGGCTCTGGATCTAAAAGCTAGAGACTCCATATGTGTACCCAAAATGGCAACTCTGGATGCTCCACTCTCTCAAAGAGTGTTTCTCAACCTTGGCACTATTTTGATATTTGTGGTCAAAAAATTCTGTTACGAGAGGTTGTCTTGTGCATTACAGGATATGTGGCAGCATCTTGGCCTCAACCAATTGAGTACCAGTAGTGCCACTCTCCAGTTGTGACAACCAAAACTATGTCTAGCATTGCCAAATGTCCCCTGGAGAACAAAGTCCCCTTCCTTCTACTTTGAGAATCATTGGTTTAGAAGACTCTAGTCCTCTGATGGATATAACCTTGCCAAACTCTCATTTCTTAGTAGGGATTCTTGCTACCTAAGTCTAATACKAAAAACAATTTTCCCTCTACAAATTTCATTTGGGTTGCAAAAGCTTAATAAGCCTAGTCACATCTTCTTCTTTTGAAAATTATAACTTTGATGGAAAATTTGGAAACTATAGAGGTGTAAAAAGGAGAAGAAATTTAAATCCTAGTCTTATATAATAATAAACACAGTTGATGTRTATTAAAAATTTAATTTTCACTCCTTTGGCCATCTCCAGGAATTTGTCCAACAGAAGTAAATACTTATAAAGATTAATTAATCAAAACACTGTTCACAATATAGAAAATTAGATACTAATAGAATGTCCAAAATGGCCCATTCAATAAGTTTCGTATGTAACATCTATTTGATAAGATGCTGTGGAGCTACCAAAACCCACATCCTTCAAAAATTTATTTAAAGATATGGAAATACTCACCAGATGTTAACTTAAAACAAACAAACAAACAAAAAGCCACATATAAGATACACTGGAAACTACAAAATATGGCTGAAAGAAATTAAAGAGAAATAAATGGAGAGAAATCTTATGTTCATGGATTGGGTGATTTAATATTGTTAATTTGGTAGAACTACCCCAAACAAGCTACATAGTCAATGCAATCTTCTGCCCAAACTCCAATATTTTATGCAGAAACAGAAAAATTTATCCTAAAGTTCTTTAGGAATCTCAAGGGACCCAAATAGCCAAAACAGTTTTCAAAAAGAACAAATTTGGAGAACTCATGCTTCCTGATTTCCAAACTTACTATAAAGCTATAGTAATCAAAACAATGTGGTATTGGCATAAACCTAGACATATAAACCAATAGAACAGCGAGTCCAGAAAAAAGATCCTTATGCATTGCTAAATTATTTTTGACAAGAGTGTCAAGATCACTCAATGGGGAAAAGACATTATGCTAAGTGAAATAAACCAGACACAGAAAGACAAATATGCTGTTCCCATTGATTTGAGGTACCTAGAAGATTTTGATGCAAAGAGAGCAAGAGAGAAAATGGAAGCCTGGTTATCATGGCCTGGGGTGGTGGTGGTAATAAGGAGTTGTGTGTGTGTATGTGTGTGGTGTGTGTGTATGTGCACGCACCCGTGTGCATGGTACTGGAAATTAAACTCAGGGACACTATCACTGAGCTACACCAGAACCCTTTTTTGAGGCAGTGTCTCCCCTAAGTTGCTGAGACTGGCTTTGAATTTGTAATTCTCCTGCCTCAGCCTCCCAAGTTGCTGGGATTACAGGAGTGCACCACTGCACCTCATGAGTTATTATTTAATGGATATAGAATTTCAGTTGAGGATGATGAAATAGTTCTAGAGAAGGATAGTGGTGATGTCACATTTTAAATATTGTTAACTAGTTAAGAAAAATATATGCATTAAAAATATCGCATGAACTAAAAATTTTAACAGTGTTTATTCTGTTCTTATTTTCATTTCTATAGAGTGGGGTAATTTTTATTATTGCCTCAATAATTTTTCCTTATGTCTCAATATTTTGGGGGACAAAAATGTTTTACTTCCAAGTCAGAATAAAGAGAGTAATAGGTGCATTGTTTTTAAGCAACTATTAAAATTCTGTTGTATTTCAGCAAGAAAATGTAGCACCTACCAGGAAAACATACAAATATAATACATACAAATATAATTTTGAGTTTATCGATTTCAGTGAATGTTACATCAAATGGCTTTTCAGGTTACCACTTCATAAATAATTATTTGAAAAACACTGAAGTATTCATTAAGTATAAGTGCCACTGTTGATTATTCCTTTACTGCTGGAAAAGTCGGCAATTTCCACTTGTTTTATTATGTAACTATTACTTGAATGATTCGTTTGTGCACAACATTTTTTCCATGTTTAGAATTTGTATCTTAGGACAGTTTCCTAGAAATGAACTCACTGGGTCAAAAGTTTATGTTTCTTCCTCTGCTGCTCTTAAGGACATTCCTTATCACACAAGCATAAGAGACTATAAAAGTTTTTCAATAGTAGGTACTATTAAAATGCCCCCCCCCAAAAAAATGTGATCAATTCCAGGGATTATAAGAGAATTAAAAGTATCTAAAACACTTTATTTTAAATTTTTGTGGTCATCTTACTTTATAATGACAAATAATATAATTAATACCTTAATTTCTTTTTCTATTACTACCTTTCTCTTTCTGGAATTCCTCCCTTTATCTCCCTTTACTCACTCCATGTCTTTATTCCACCAAAAAATACATTCAAGAACCTGATAATATGAAAGATCCTCTTGAATCCTGGGAATTTGTGGTCTGGGCATAATTGTATTACATAGGTCAACTTTGCTCTTGGCATTTTCCTTCATCAACCTTTCTTGTATATTGCCTCAGTTGCAACTTACAGTTATCCCATGGTTACCAGGAATACCAGCTTCAGGATAATGCTAAGTATGGTGGGAAACAGACAAAAACCTGGGGCCCAGATGATAGTGTTGAGCTGCTGAATCAACCATCCCTAAATCCTGTGCTATCTCAGGACTTCCTGCCATCTGAGCTAATAGGTTTCTGTATTGCTTACCTCTTGCATATGCATGGCGTTGCTGCTACTTTCACTCTAAAGCATCCTAACTGGCTCAGATGCAGTTTGGGATGGGGGATTAAAGACAAATTTTGACCTTGCTTTGAAGGAAAAGCAGAACACCAGAAGGTAGGGACAAGTAATCCAAGTCAAGAAAAGATGTGAACAAGGACAAAGAGATGTGGCCGTTTTTGGTGTGCATGGAGGATTCAGCAAGACGGATGCAGAGAACTACAGGGGCCAGGTAACAGGTAATGAAGTGGGCAAGTTGGGGCCAGGTTCTTGAAGGAATTTATTTTTTTCCTCTGTGTAATAGAGAAACAGCAAAGATTTTTAATCAGGAAAATGATTCTAGGCACTTAGTCATTCCTCCTTTCTAAAATTCTAGCAGTGAGAGCACAAGTAAGATAGAACAGGGTGGGAAATGTAGCTCAATGGTAGGGTACTTGCCTAGCATGCACAAGGTCCTGGATTCCATCTCAAGTACACAAAGGAAAAAAAAAAGGAAAAGAGAAGCAAGGGGTGGGGACAGAGCGTGTATAAGTAAATACAATGTTCTATTTCCCTGTGTTCTTATAGATATTATACTAACACACATACTATGTATGTATAAAGCTAGATAAAAATATGTAACTGCATGTATGTGGATGTGTGCATGCCTGTACAGGGAGAAATGTCATTCTGGATTATCCAAAGTATTCAATTCAATTTCTGATTGGTTGTTTGCAAAGATTTCCTGGTAAGAATCCGTAAGCCAGTGCTGTCATTACTTTGACAAAAATCTTCCTGATTCCATAATGGGAAATCAGTAATTTTCTGAGCTGTGATTCTGAATTCTGATGCCACATTATTATAACTGACCATGTGACAATAGAATTGGACTTCAGTTTACCTTGTATAAAATGAATTTTCTAGGTTAGCTGGTCCACAGGTCTGTTATGTAAAACATGACTACATTATTCCATAATGTCTACTTTCTCCTTCTCCTCCCTCTCTTTTTTTTTCCTCCCTCCCTTTTCTTTTCTTTTTAATTTTTCATTTTCAAACAGGGAACTCTGAGATTCTGAATAAGGTTTAAACAAGAAAATTCACCTGTAGTTCATCTGGAAATCTGGGTTGAACTGCAGATAACACCCAGTTAACACTGAGCTTAAACAAATATGGGTTTGTTTTACTTCCTTTCTTGGAAATCTCAAGGAAAAAGGGTCTTGGCATTGCTTCAGAACCTCCACTACATCAGGACAACATCTCCGCAATTCTCCTGACCTTTCTCTCACACTTGTCACTTCTTGTGTGTAAGTTGACAGAAATGAAGGAATTGTGGCACCAGGAACATCTGCTCCCTCTCTTTGGAAAGAAAGACATTTTTCCAGAACCATCTCTTCTATCTCCCTATTAACATTTCTCCAATTATGTTTCAATGGTCAGGAGAGTGTTACATGGTCACCTCAGCAGGAAGGGAATCTGACAGATTCATGAACTCAACTATTGTCTACAAGTTCAGGGGATTCAGAACCTTCCAAAATGGTTTATGGTAACCAGGTTCAGAATCTCTGATCTCAAAAGTAGGTCACACTGTCTGGGTCTTGACTTTAAGAGTCTCAGTCTTCAGAGAAAACTAAAAACTGAATAGATTTCTAAAAGTCTCGTTTGAAGCAGTAAAATTGTTTAAATGTCTAGAGTACAAGGAGATATTATGAAAGTATTTTGTAAACCGTAAAGTTCTCTTAATATGAAGGTGTACTTCTATTTGTATTGTGAGAATTTCCTTTCTTACCTGTGGATCCCACATCTGGTTTGCCATTTGCACTGTGGGGTGTGTGTGTGTGTGTGTGTGTGTATGTGTGTGTGTGTGTGTGCACGCATGTGCCTGCACAGATGTGTGCAAATAAAATTATTATTAGGAGGTAGGAGATAAGAAAACAACACAAGCAAATCGATGCCAGGAACACAAAGAAAATATTTTATTAGTTTCCAGATTGAAAAACAATGGAGGAGAACACATTTCAATAGAAATCCATGACCCTCCGCAAAGAGCCCACTCGGGCGTTCACAGCGCCCCAGTCGAGGTGACGCCTGTATTCCCCCGGCCTCAGTAGGTACTGCCGTCCGCGGTAGTTGGGCAGCTCATAGAGGACCCAGCTGCCCTCCAGCACGTTCAGGGAGTAGATATCACTCAAGTGGAAGCGGTCCTGAACAGAGGGGCAGTCCTCAGTGATCTCTACCATCTGGCCTCTGTAGTCTTCCCTCTCATACAGTCTGATCCTGTGGGAGCCGGCCTGGCAGGCCCAGAAACAGGAAGGGGAGAAAAGCAAAAAAGAAATCACGTTAACACATTAGTGCAGGCCAGTTTGGAGAGAACTGGTTGGAGTCATTTTGAAGTAGATTAAAAAAAAAAATCCCTAATTTTTAGGACTTTCTCCTTACTGAGGGCCGAGGTTTAGTATCTTTCCAAGATAAAGTTTGACTGAATGACCAAGAAAGATATACTGCTCCTGAATACATTAAGATATTACCCCCTGTACTACAGACAAACCTTTAACAGCTGATTTCTCTCTCTCTCTCTCTCTCTCTCTCTCTCTCTCTCTCCCCCCCCCCATTTTAAGGAAATGTTTTATATTAAAACAGAAATAAAATGTAAAACACTAAACATCTTAGGTCTCAGACAATCCATACTCAATTTTTTAATAGAATATGGAAAAATTGGAAAGAAAAACCAGGAAGTTCAAGGACTAAATTTTCACAAAGTTTAGTGTTTTTAAAACACACAGAAATATATGTGGCACATGGGCAAATTCTTTGTTGCTCTCTATTGAGAAAAGTACTTCGAGGTGAACTAAAATATTCACTTTGGGAGCAAAGAAGGGAAAGAATCTTTAAAAAAAAAATCACTTATGCTCAATAACTACCATACCATCAGGCACATAATCACTCTTCTATTAGGTATTAGTGATTTTTCTACATTGCCATTCTAAATGATTCCAGGTCAGGACTTGAATCATATACATCCCTTTCCCAGGGCTGCTAACACAGTTCTAGGTAATAAATATCGATTGATTAGTGGGTATCTGAGTAATGCTTTGCTTTTGTGTCTCTGTGTGTGGGAGGGTGGGTGAGGGGACTGCACTGAAGGAATCCACTACAGCTTTTGTGGATCTTCTTCCCAAACAGGYTGTTTTTCATTCTGAATGATCACCTGTACTTCAAATGATTAACCTTTGCAGGAAACTATGCAGTCAGGGTCCTCAGGGCCTCGTCCTGGGATGAACCGGACTCACGTGGGGGATGAGGCGACAGGAGCGGACAGAGTCGCTGAGGCCCATCCACTGCTGGTAGTCAGGGTAGTCGCCCCGCCGCAGGAAGTACTGGCCGCCCAAGTAGTTGGGCTGCTCATAGAGCATCCAGCAGCCGCTGTCCACGCGCACCGAGTTGCAGCGGCTGAAGTAGGGCTGCAGGTTGGAGTGGTCGCTGCTGCACTCATAGTGGCGGCCCTGGAAGCCCCTGTCCTCATAGAAGGTGATCTGCAAGGCAAGGCCAGGCGCGGGCTCAGAGGCCTGAGGCGGCGTCGGGTCCCCGGGTGCCAGCGCCCCTCCCCGGGCCCCGGGCGCCCTYSGGGCTCACCTTGCCCATGGCTGGTGGAGGCSGACGGCGCGAGCTCAGTGTGTGGGGCCGCGGCGGGCGGTCTATATAGTGGAGGGCTGCTGCGTTGGCAGAACAGCACAAAAGGGGCCCGCGGGGGGCAGGGGCAGGTCTCTCTCTTTTCTCTTTGCTGTCATAGTCCACGGGACTCATTGTGGTCCCATTCTCTCTGGAGGATTCGGGTTGGTATCAYTGGCTGATGCTATTGAGATGGTTTGGGGAAAAAAAAAACTAATTTGGGACATTGTCTATTTAATAATAGAAATAGAGCTTCAGCCATTTCATATATAGTCCACACTTTTATTCATACAGGTTGGGATAAAACAAAAGAAGTCTAAGTGGGGGAATAAGAAAAGCAAAGTCTTAAAATGATAAACATAGGTTAATCTGTTAAGAACTTCCATGATGTCTATGTGCACCCATCTAGAATACTGGCTATGAAAATGGATGAAAATGGATCCAAACGAATGTTGAAAATTTAAGTTAGTCCCTTGGAAGAACTTCAGGATTAGAAGAYGGAAGAAATTGGAGTGTTTTCCCCTGGGGGTTCATAGAGTTTCAGATTTTCCATATGGTAGAAAACAGAGTTCTGAAACTCTATGAACTGAAACTCCATGATCTTCATGGTTCTGCTTTTGTTGCAGAGGCATGGGCAAGAAGTCTGAGAGTTAGACCTTTCTCTGAGCTAATTGTGGTTCTGTGATTCCAAAGGGAAAATTGTTTTAAGATACTCAGAAGAAGTAAAAGAAGATGTCTAAGGAAATAAGAAAACCGAATACATTTAAAACACCAAAAACAGATTACCTCTTAGCTTATTACAAGATAAAAACAAATTCCTAAGAAACACATTTCTAGTAGGATCAAAGACAGGCCTTTGTTCTCTGGTGAACAAGAGTAAACAGAGCCCTTTGACTCAGAGGAAATTAATTGTACAAACACAAAGAGGAGCTATGGCTGGAATGGTGTAGGGAGAGGAAGGAATAAATGTCTAGAAGCTGGGACGCTAGGAAGACTTTAGAAAATATTTATTCGTCTGGAAAACAGTTTGGTGGACTGGAAAGAGCACTGGAGTGGAAGATAGCCTATGTGTCTAGCCTTTTTCATGTTCAAAGAGTGAGTCACAGCCCTCTGTCAACCCATGGAAGTCTTTGAGTCATAAATCTTTGTAAGTTGGTATTTATGAATAAATGGCGACTATGTGCAATATGCTTTTGATTCTTATTTTCTGGTTTCTTGTTAGCCACTATGTAAAGATGTATGTTGAAAGTTACTTATGTTTAAGTAGTGGAAAATAAGTAGCCAGAACATAGCACATAAAAAAATAACCTTATAATTAAACATTAAAGTAATAAAGAATAAATTGAAACCATGTTTTTCTCAGTGCTGTTTCTGAGTCCAGGATTCTGTGGGGAGAAGGTTGATGGATGCAAGCAGTAAAACATGAGAAAGAACTAGAGCCAGGTGTGATGGTGCATGCCTGTAATCCCTGCAGTTCTGGAGGCTGACACAGGAGGATGGCTAGTTCAAAGCCAGCTTCAGCAACTTATTGAGGCCCTAGGCAACTTAGGGAGACCCTGTCTATAAATAAAAAGGGCTGGGGATGTGGTTCAGTGGTTAAGTACCCCTGGGTTCAATCTCTTGTACTTTTTAAGTAAAAAACAAAACAAACAAAAAAGCTAGAATTCAGAGTCCCAGAGAGTATGCACAGTGTGGTTCAGGAAGTAAATAAGCAGGGCAAAAAAAACTCAAAAAGCATAGTGGGGACACTTGTGGGGACCACTGCCCTTGTTGTCATGAAATTACAGCTGAAATATAGGATGCATATGGAAAATACAATCAGGGGGATTTGAACTTGGATTTTTCTTTGATCAGGAAGAGAGAAGATTTTATATCAGCCTGGCATTAAAGAAACAAGAAAGTACCCCAGACTTCTCATAGAGCTTAAAAGCTAATGCCTCAGGCCAAAATGTAGTTTGATTAAATATTCTACAGAAAGTTCCAGGAGTGACAAATGTATGTAAGACTTAAGTTCTAGTTATACATAGTGTGCTAGGTAAACATGAAGCCCGAGAATCCTTACAGTGGTGGCACAAAAGCTATGCCAGAGAGCTCTTCACAATTTGCCTAGGATAACTAATTGGGACTGTCATTGGAGGGGGAAGCAGTGCTGAAGGACAGGCACTATGGTCTTGAGCTCTGTCTAGTCCAGTAACATTGCCTACATTTTTGGGTGGTTTCAAACAAAAGTGATGGTGAAAGAGACTTGYTCAGGTTAGGGATTTGCTRTATGCAGGGTCAATCATTTGTATAGTTAGTGTAAATAATAGTCTATAAAATGAAGCACATAAAAATACCATTCTTCTTATTTTCTAGAGCTCAAAATATTTTATGAAGCTAAGTCTCATTCCATTAGGATGGAAAGAAAATTTAATGTTCATCATTGTCAGAGTTTCTTTTCTCACATCCACAAGCTCCATAGGAAGATTGTGTGTGTGTGTGTGTTGTATATATATACACACAACACACACACACACACACACACATAGTGCCACAGCATTTCCTTGTGGGGAGAGAAGATGCATGGGGAATTACTACAGTGTCCATGGTTAGATATTTTGTTTGGCTGCTGCAGTGTATAGATGGTTTTTATAATGCTTTATATTGGTTCACACTGTTCACAGTTCCACATACTCCACAGCATTCCTGTTGTCTTAATGGAAGTGTTTCACTTATTGACACTATCTCCCTGGCACCCAAAGGCATTGATTTGCAACTCCAAACAAGAGTTTTCAAATTTGCTCAACTTTGGCCATTTTTTTTACCAATTGAGAAACCTATACATCGTGTCAAAGTTTCCAAGAATTCTTTCCTGGACTTAGTGTATGTTAGTAGAAACTTTTGTAATTTGGGGGGTCTAAAATGCCCTCTTAAAACTGTCTTTTATAAAATGATGTAAGAATAGATGGTACTTAGTTTTTAATTTCTTCTTTTGTTTTTATGTTTTAAATGTCTTTGCCCATCAAAATACAAGTTGGCAATATTATGTACCCATTTGAAGAAAATTGGCCTG